GTCGGCATCACCCATCCGGTGCGCTCTGTGGATGAAGACTTCCTAAAGTGGAACACCAGGGTGCGTTTCATCCCCACTAGTTTTTCATCGGCACCACCGCTGGGTTTGTTGTATATTGGGACCTCTGTGCCTGCCAATCTCCAGAACCCATCACCAGCGGCATGGTTGCTTTCATAGTCCCTAGGGTGGCTGTTCTCCTTGCGGGTGAAGAAGTGCTTCCCATTCTTCTTCTCCCCTGCTGCTCCAGCATCACCAACATAACAATAGAAAAGTTGACACTCAAACATAATCATACAAGAAATTAACTGTCAAAATCCCTACAAACGATCTAGCTGAGGAGATACTACTGATTGATGAAACTAATCAAAGATGCTGCCAAAGATTTGGGAGTGACACAGTGCGAGTCAAAATATATTTACCGGGAACGATTTCCCAAGGGTTGTGGCACTGGATGTCCACATCGGTGATGAAGTCGCAAGGCAGCGGCTCCTGCATGGCACGGCGGTACAGGTAGTTGACAACAAGCTCACCCTCGGTGGGGCGGAACACACACCCAACGGAGAGGTGCATCGTGGTACCGTTCAGCAAGTTGATGCAAACTCCAGGACCAGCCATCGTCCTAGCTTGCAACCTACAAACAGATTTCGCTCGCACGCTCGCTTGCTCTCGCTAGACTCACTAAAACGAATGTAAGATTGAATGGTCCCGTGGGGATGGAGATGGAGGCTGGGAGGAGCTGTATTTATAGAACCAAGAGGGTTGTTTGCCAACTCACCATATTGCCACCTGTATGGGCAACTGAGAGTGCCGTGAGGGGGACTCCACTTCACTGTTTTTTGTCTCTCTATCGCCAGGCTGCAGATGGGTCAGATAGCATCCAGGGTGTTGCAAGGCATGCATCCATGCAGTAACACACAAAATCCAAGAGGAAGAAGGTAAAGATGGCTGGGGTTGATGGAGGAATGAGGATCCCAACGTCAGTTATATCTTCTGATTTGTTTTTTGTGTTTTTCAACTGGTGAGGTGGACTACTCTATCTCCTTCTTGGAGTGTTATTATGGACAATATAACAGTGATGAGAAGAACACAATAGTGCTGATCTAGGAGAACTGTGTGTGCCTATAAGGATGATATTAAATGTGTGTGAACCTTGTTGGCAAGCCTTTTAATTTGTGGCCTTATTGGGATAGTTGATACAGTTTTTTTAGGCTTGTTAATTTGCAGCATTAAAGATTGGGGGTGGGGGGGGTGGCTGCTGGAAAATGTGAGTTTAAAATCCAGTCCTTGCCTCACTGAATTCCTAAATTTTTTTTTGGTGCTACATGAGCGCACCATCTATACGTAACATAGGTGTAGTGGCAGCTAAAGTCTATGTTTATGTTATACATGTTTTCTTTCAATCATCTTATTTTCAAATACATCTTATTTTCCAAAAACAGTTAGAAATTTTATGAAGAGCTCCAATTTCATCATAAAGATAGCAAGAGGTAATGAATTTAATTGTAGTGAACAAAATATCTTCCTATTGAATTAAAAATAAAATTAATTATTTGCCACCCAAACATATGTGATTAACTGTTTTGAACTCAACATATGTTAATTAATTATTTCTTCTACTATTTATTGTCAGAGGTGATCAGGGTATACCCTCCCTCGTGCGAGCTATTTTATCAACTTTTTGATCCCCACCGAGAATGAAAATAACTAACCACAATCTTAAATGTTAAAGCCTATCTCTACTCCTTAAATGTAACTAATTAACCCCCTTCTCCCATGTAAAAGATATCAAGCGATTGGTTCAAAAAATTGTTACTTTGATCCCATTCCAACCATTCCGAATTACAGGACCCATAAAATAGTGAATAACCCATACTAATCCATTGCGAACCACAGGAACCTGACTAGTACCTATAAATAGAGGAATATAATAAAAAGTTAGAAGCCCAAACTGCCAAAATCTGCCACTCTCTTCCATTCCTCCCTCCGAGCACCGCTCCTCCTTCTCACTAGAGCAAAATCATTACGTAGAGGCACTTTTGTGGAGACAGTTTTTATTTTGCCACTTAAACCAAGAGTTCTATAGTATAAAGATACTTTTTAGAGGCACTTTTAGCATATTTTGTTAAATTAATGTTGTAGAGGCATCTTTTCTGCACTTTAATATTTGCCTCATATGTAAAGGAATTTTGTTATGGCGTTTTAACCTCTGTAGAGGCACTTTTTCAAATTTTGATTTAATGCAAGAATCGTCTTGCACAATATGTACTGAAATTGTTCGGGAGACATGGTCAAAGCCCGGGTTGAAGTAATGCTAAAGGAGATTTCTTGAAGCCAACGTCCAGCATAAGTGGCCCCTCTCTGGTAAGGTTTGAAAGTTTTCAAAACGTAAATCAAATGATCTGAATCAAAATGCCTCATCTTGATAAATTGACTTATTTCTCAAATGACATGAGGTGGAGATGGTAAGTGTGTTGAAGATATTCTCAAAATTCCTCTACAGGATTCTAGAGGCATTTTAAAACTGCCTCTAGTGTTAGAAAAATGTCTCTACGAAGTATTTTTTGTTGTGGTGCTCCTTATTAGTGCTTCCTCTACACCATGCTATGCCAATGGTGATGATTGATGGTGCCAGAGATGTAGTATCGTCGATGCCATGCCGATTTCCATATGTTAAGTAGGTCCTTGTTTTCCATGGTGGTTGATCATCTTGGATAGCAACTGAGACCAAGGTATACAGGGGGCATGATCCACCTTGTTCCACTCACGAATGTTAACTAGTTGTGATCAGAGGCATCCTAACGTCCTGATTGGGATTACCCCTGAGTTCGTCAGCGATATAAAAACAACAGGAGCCCGCCTTGTGGTCAAGTGAAGACCTCTCCACTTCCCCTAATTCCTTGATAAAGCCTAATATCATCGTTCCTTAGCTAATGCTGGATGAGGCTTGTAGTGCAGTTCTAGGGCACTGAAAGTGGCACTCAGAGTGAAACCATCACCCACTTGTCGATCGCTAGCATTGCCTAGGGGATCAAGCAAGAAATCTCATACTCATGACTCATATATCTACATCGACACCAAAAGAAGCAGAGAAGGAGAAGGAGGTCGCATCCATAGATTTAAACAATGTTAGTCAGTTTAATCTTCTCTTTCACATTATATTAAGGTGATGATGTTAGGCTAAGCACATCTTTATAACATGTAAAACCAATGAGTTGATTTAGATTTTGCGGTGAAAATTTTGGTGGTTTGCTGATGTTATTTTGGAGATTTTGTAGACGGTTGATTTTGTGAAGTGAAGGTTTTTGGTTGACCCTGGCGGTCAGACCAGCCGGGTGCCGCCGGCCAGACTGCAGGTGTTGCAGCGGTCAGACCAGCCGACCTGATGGTCTGACCGGCAGGATTCTTATCGTGTTCGGTTTCGGGTTGTCTTGTTGTATTTAGATGTTTCCTTTGGGGATTTGGCTTCTAGATGGTTTCTATGCGTATGGATACTGTTGTTATACTAATGTGAGTCAAGTAGGGACGAACTTGTGCTTGGAATATGGTTTCTTCGTTGTTGCATGTGCAGGTGTTGCTTGAGGCCTCGGGAGAGTATTGCCGGTGATAGATCGGAGTCGACTTAGGAGAAGTTGATGTCCATGGATCAAGAGATCATGCGGGACACTAAAAGGCTAGAGAGCAATGCACGTGGCGATGAAGAATCCATATGGTATACAAGAGGGATTGTAATCGTATGGAAAGAGGAGTCGAATTTGGAAGGGAGTCCGAATTTCGGAAAGATTGATTGAGATAAGGAAAGGGATAAGTTGGATACTTGCAAGAGAAGGTTTCCTACATGGGTTAGGCATCTTAAGTTATGTTAGATTCGTGGGCTTTGCACAGTCTAACTCATGTATAAATAGAGAGGGAGGGTGAGGCCTCCCGGTATTGGTTTTAGAGAGACTCGAGTTGAGAGAAAGTTAAGGTTTCGAGTTTAGTTCGAGATTTTGGTGAGGGGTGCTGTTGGTGCACTTTGTAAACACTAGTTGATGCAATAAAGTCGAAAGTTTCAATGTACATCTTCGAGTATGTCATCTACCGGTGTTTCTAGGTCTTGATGGTCTAACCACAGATGTACGCGTTCTAACCGATAGCGGTGTTCTAACCGCAGGTGATTGGGTGGTCTGACCGGCGAGGCTTCGGTGGTCTGATTGATGGCAGGAGGGCGGTTCGACTAGCGGCGACAGGTCTTTGTCATCTACTCCATTTGAGGTAAATCTTTTATCCCGCAAAAGATTTTGGGTTTTTGGTTTTCTCTACCATTCACCCCCCTCCAGTAGGTTTGTTTGGTCTTGTGCAATCCTACATAACATTGATTATAAACTCACATTCCTCCCCTGTAGCCACCATAGTATGAGGGAAGTCAGCAAAGGTGGCTGATTTGAGTGCATGAGATGTAGAATGAGAGGGCTTGGGAACAGTGGCTGACATGAGTTCATCTGTGTGCGGGACAGCGCACAAACATGGTCCTCCTCCCTTCCCATTGAGGGCCACACTGGTAGTTTCGTCCATCCACTTTTATCCTTTTTCTCCATGTAAAAGATCGACGCCATTCAAGAAGTAGTTCAAAACTGTGGCCTACGCATACACAAAAAATATGCTAGGCCTAGGCATACAAAAAATTAACTTTTGTTATCAATTATTTTTTGTATCCATCTCCATATATATCGTCATCTCATTCTCTACATGTAACCCATACTCCGAGTGTAATCAGTAATATTAATAATACAGCAGCAGCTCAGACACAAAAGATGTAATAATCCTCTCACCGCGAATGATTTGCCCAAGATTAACTATATCTATTATATCACTACATGTGATTCAGACGGTAACTCTGTAATAACATCCCATGTCCAACAATCAATTCGAGCCCAAACATGTGCTATGTGACTTGTCGACACACGTATACCACACGCATATGTGAATCGATCACATGCAGCAGAGTGAACAAGCTATGCCCATGGAAGAAAAAAACACAAAAGCACAATATATTGAAGAAGGGCAGTTACAACAGTTACCTCTACCAGGTAACTACCTCCCATTGATCTTGAATCTGGGGCGAATGCGTCTCATCCTAGAAGCTAGAACATAGGCACACTTTACTTTCCCCAAACTAATTAAATGATATATTGTCTACAACTTAAACAGAAAAACATAGACTCCAGTTTGAACAGCATAGAGTACTCCGACTTAATTAAATAGAATACATAGTATCAAGCATGAACTTCAAATTAAAACACATAAACAGGTCATAGGTCTTTCTCGCACCGAGGAAACACTCCGCTTGCAATTTTTACTGGACACAGCTGAGTGGCTTCCTTTATTTAGTTCATGCCATGGCCATAACCATCCTTGTCATCCGTGATGACATCGGCAGACACATCACTCCCTTCCTCGAAAGATGGCTGCCCCAGGAAGTCAATGGCAGGAAGGGCGAGGGCGACTTCCCTTGTATTGCCAATTGTAGGAAGGGCGAGGATGAGTTCCCTTGCATCGCCAATGGATGGAGGGATGATGAACTGTGGTGTTCGTTGCCTCTTCTTGTAGATGCGACATATCCGCAAAGAACTATCAGGTTCGACCATGGTTTTCTCAAGTGGGCCATGAGTTTGTCCAGCTGATGGACTTCCATTGTTTTCCTGCAAAACGGTCGACATATAATATGTTACTAGATGCTGCTTAAGGAGGAACCATGGTATATATAGCATGTACAACAAAGAGAGATAGATGAAATCTATTAATAGCAAAGACATAGTTGTATTCCAGATTTGTGCTAATCATCTAGTGACTGAATTAGAAGGAATTGGTATCTTCTATGTCCAATTTTCTTCCATATATGGGCAAAGGAGTGTCATCAATCTACCATCCGGTTTCACCAATAAACTGTAGAGATGTCACTTTCCATGAAAAGGTACAGACCAGGATCAAAACATGATCTGAACATCCCTTCCCGACACTAAGGGGATAATGATCATGCATGGAGCTCAACAAAGAGTTTCACTTATAAAAGCGCAAGCCGGCTGCATACCTCTTTTTGCATCTCGATAAAGTCAAGTATCTTATTGATCCCATAACTGTTATGTCTCTAAACAACCCGGGACAAAGGGGATAGCCACTTGTGGTGTTAAAAAAAGAGTTTCACTAATGAAAACACACGGCGACGACATAACACTTCTCGCGTCTTGACAAAATTGAATATCTTATAGATCCCATGACAGTTAGATCTCTACACATCCTGGGACTACTAGGATAACCACGTAATGTTTAATAAAGAGTTTCACTGATAAAAGTGCAAGCCGACAACGTACCCCTTTCTGCACATCGGCAAAATTGAATCTCTTATTGGTCCTTTAATTATTAGATCTTGATTCATGGAAAAATCTTATTTATTGTAATTAGATCTTACTGAAATATATAGAATCGCTATCCAAAAAGTCAAATCACCTTTTGGTTCCAGCACCTGTAGGTCTGACATCATAACAAAATTTGAATCACCACTAGCTAGGTCCATCCTAGACCTTGTTGCACCATCAACGTCAACATAGAAAAATATTGTTCTTATAATTATAAGTTTGTAATTCATCATGTCCATATTCCCCAAGTTGAATGACACAGTTCTATGCTTGCATGTAAATACTTAACCAATTAGATTATAAAAGTAGATCGATTCTATGTTATATCCAATATATAGGCACGGTGATGTTCGGATGTGTAGTGTCTTACCGTGGCGATGGTCGTTCCTGTGCGGTGGCAGGGAAGCATGGAGCCATCACCGGTGGCTGGCCTCGTCACAGGGCAAGGTATAAGGGTAGCACCAGCAAGTCGGAACTCCTGCATCACCCATTCGGTGCGCTTTGCGGACGAAGAATTCCCGTAGTGGAATACCAAGGTGCGCTTCATCCCCACCAGTGCTTCATCAGCGCCACCACTACGTTTGTGATATATCGGCACCTCTGAGCCTACTGGCCTCCAGAACCCATCACCAGCAGCACGGTTGCTGTGGTGGTTGCCAAGGCGTTCGTTCTCCTCATGGATGAAGAAGTACTTCCCATTTGTCTTCTCCTCCGCTGCTCCATCATCATCAACCCAGCAGACAATAAATTAACTATCAAAACAACTGCAAACTATCTATTGAGGTTATACTACAGATTGATCAAATTAACTGAAGAAGCTGGCAAAGTTTTGGATTAATATATCTAATGGGAGTAAGCCTGTGTGGGTCAAAAAAATATTTACCAGGGACGATGTCCCAGGGGTTGTGCTGGAGAATGTCGACGTTGGTGATGAAGTCACAGGGCACCGGTTCCTGAATGGCGCGACGGTGCAGGTAGTGGACTACTAGATCAGCATTGGTGGGGAGGCGCGTCGATGTACCATTCACCAAGTTGATGCAAACTCCAGGGCTGGCCATTCTCCTCAATCGTAGAATACAAATATATTCCGCTCACTCTCAACTCTCAAATGAATTAAAGATTGAATGATGCTATTGTGATGAAGGTGGAGGGAGGGAGGAGCTCTTATTTATTTACCCAAGAGGGGTGTTTCCAACTCATGATTATTGCCACCTGTATGTGCAACTGTGAATGTTGTGACAGAGACTCAACTCTACGATCACTTCCTCTTTCTCTATCTCCAGGCTGCAGATGGTGAGATAGCATCCAGGGTGTTGCAACACATGAATCCATGCAGTAACACACAAAGTCCAAAAAGAGGAAGAAATAAAGATGGCCAGGGTTGATGAGGGGGTGAGAATCCCAATGTCAGTTATATATTCTGTTGTTTTGTGCTTTTCAATTCCTTTTGAGAAGCTCTCTCTCTCTCGCTTTCTTTTTTGTGTTTATTTGGGAGAAGATAACAGCAATGAGATGAGCACAATAGTGCTGACTAGGAAAACTATGGGCGCCTACTAAGGCTGGGATTAAAAGTGTGTGAACCTTGTTGGCAACTGGCAAGCTTTTTTTTATTTTGGCCTTATTAAGTTTCTAGAATAAAGATAGGGGGTGCAGGAAAATGTGAGTTCAAAAGCTAGACTATGCCTTTCTGTATTCCCAATTTTATTTTGAGCTATATGAGAGCACCATCTACGTAAAGTTGGAGCCGGCCGCTGCAAGGCTAAGGCTAAGTTTATGCATATATTCTTTGAACCATCAAAATTTTCAAATAGATCTTTCCAAATTACCAGTAATGCATGTATGATGAGTTCTAAATCCATCACAAAGATGACAGAAAGTAACAAAATTAATTGTTGTGAATAATGAGTGGACCATATCTCTGCGTGGATTAACTATAAAATTAATTATTTGCCACCCAAAGATATGCAGTTAACTATTTGATACTTACTTAATTGTTGCTTCTACAATTTATTTATTGCCATCGGCGCTCAGGGCAGTGATCCGTATACTAGTGACACCGTTTTAGCACTTGTCCCCCCATGTGATTGAAAATAACCATCCACAATTTTAAATAATCAAGCCTATAACTGTAATTATCTTTTTAGAAAACGCATGAGAGTTGCACTTCATTTCACTAAGAAGGAAAAATACATATACATATATATACCTATAAACTGAGGAGTATAAAAACTTATAGAAGCCCTAACTGACTAGATCTGTCACTCTCCTCCATCCTTTTTAACCTTTAATCGAGCACCACCTCCTTGCTCTCCCTCCTTCCCGGTGCTTCCTCCACAGCATGCTGTGGCCATCGCGAAGATCGATGGGGCCAGGGTTGCTGTCTCCTTGATGCCATGCCTATGTTATGTAGGATATTGTTTTTCTTGTTGGTTGATCCTCTTGATTAACAACCAAGACCAAGTCACAAGGGGCGCATTGTCCATCCTTTTCTGTCATGCTTGTTGGTTCACCATGATCGGGAGCAGCATAATGTCCTGATTGGGATCACCCCCAAGTCTATGAGTGCAATAAAATAAGGAGAGCTCAGCCTGTGGACAGGCGAAGAACTCTCCACTTCCTCAAACTCCTTCATAAACCATACCACCACTGATCCTAAGCAAATGCTAGAGAGGACCCATAGTGTGGTTCTAGGGCAGTGCGAGTGGCACCTATGGCATCATCCGCTCGTTTATCGCCAGTTTCACCTATGGTATCAAGTAGGTATACTCACATTCAGGACATGCACATCTACAACGGCACCAAAAGAAGCAGAGAAGGAGACGGCGGCATCCATGTCCTCAAACAATGTATGTTAGTTTATTCATCTTTTCCATTGTTCCACATTATATTAAGGAGATGCGTGGTGGTGAGCCTAGTAGGGCGTTGACTGTAAAGTATGCCTAGGTGGCAGAGGGAAGCGGATGTGAGTGCATGCACTGGATAGTGTGACCTTGGGTTTCAAGCAGTAGCCGCCAGGTACCAACAATTGCAGTGCTCCAGACCATGTGTGTGGTGGCAGGGTGCTAGGCAACATGGTTTGTGCACCGTGAAGCGGCTAGTGGAAGCCGGTGGTCTAGTGACGTCAAGATCCAACTGCGCATGTAGGCACCCCTAAGGCCCTACCTCTCCTTCAAAAGTGCATGTGTGCAGCTTCATCAAATTGATCAACCAGCTTTGCCGGCACCTCTCCTCCTAGTGGGGCTGTCATAAATGTGTCGCATCCTTACTCAGCCTGGCTGGTGCCGCTATCACCGCCTCTCCAAACCTCACCTAGTGCCCGACGAACATCCATCTTTCCCTCGTCTAGGGTTGGTCACTGCTGTGCTGTTCACCTAGATCAGCGGCCAACTCCATCTTCAACCAAGCCATCATCAACCTTTCCAAGCATTTAACCTCTGCTACCACCACTAGCTGCACCAAGCCACCAACCATTGGGTTCAGAGCAGTTTTACCGTACTCCAACTTACAATTGGTCTAGCACTTGGTTATTGTATACATTTTCCAATAAAAAAATATTTGCTCCTTTCAATTGATATATCACAACAGAATAAGGAAATATTAGCACCTATTATTTACCCTTCCCAACCTTAATCATGCACGCAGGAAATTAAGGACTATAACTTTGGTAGCCTATCTATATTGATATGAAGATCTGGATGCCCATTAATGCTTAAATTTAATGTGTGAAATCACACGTAAATATATTTCAAACAGCAGCACATCGCAAACTTTTCACTCTATATTTAAATTAAGAGTTGCACATTAGTTTTTCGCAATGTCTATATATTTTTGTATTCTCATATCAGATTTGAAATTTTGCATTTTCCATTTGATCGTGATTGAAATGCCATTAAAAATTTGCATTCAGGGTAAACATATAATTACCATGGTGTATTTGTAAATTAGTACAGCATAAATATTTAATATCATTTTATAAATTACTCCACTTACCTTATTAATTGTGTTCCTAATAATGAATATTATCCCTGTCCTTATTACTTTTGGAATGTAAGAGACTGTGTCCACAGTTGGACCTTAGTCTAATGTACGGTCAGAGAAAAACTTGGAGCACCTTAAGAAGTGACGGTACTAGTACACTAACTTACCTCTAAATTTAGGGACTTAACGCTGAAGCTATGCCACAAAATTCACACTTGTCATTAATTTTTATTATTATTCGTTCATCTATATTGATATATCATTCAAATTCGGTATAACACATAGGTGTTCCAACTTAATATATATTACTCCTAATTCACATAGGCCACAAAATATATAGAAAATGCTCTCACTGCGACTAATTTGCACAGCATGAATCAATGCTTGCTTCACTATAAATAAATACATGATATGGATGACAACTCTGTTACCTCCCATGTCCAACTATCACCTCAAGCCCAGATACGTGGTAAGTGAATTTGTTTCCGAACACTTGGTAAGTGAATTCTGGACATGCATTTCACAATGAGCAATTTTACGGTCCTTAAGGAGGTACCATGAGGTACCACTTTTTCTATTGTAAATTTGGTACCTCTTGGTACATAGATACTATGAGGTACCATGAGATACCAAATTTTACACTAAATTTTTGGTATCTCATGGTACCTCCTCAAGGACCGTAGAATTGATTTTTCACAATCTGATCATTATTAATGTGTGTGTTTATGAACAACACATATCAAGTAACATGTAGTACAGAGCAATGCAGCTCACTCGATGCAACATAGTGAATAAAGTATGGCAACGGAAATGGATATATAGAATATAGATAGCTGGCTAGAATGACATTATGAAATAGGACAATATATATATATTGAAGAAAGGAAGATGCAACAATTTCCAGAAATGTAGCTACCTCTCTAGAACTTCTTGCATCTTGGACGACTTTGTTCATCCTAGAACCCAAACACGCTTGGCTTTCTTGAAACTAATTAAACAGGACAGATACACTTCAAACTTTTATTAAAAACAGCATAATCTCCAGATCGAATAGCTTAGAGTACTCCAACTTAAAGACAACACACATAGTTCTCCAACTTGAACATAAAAGCACATATATAGGATGCATGCAGGTCTTCCATGGAATGGAGCGCCATACTTGCAGTTTTTATTCTTGAGACTCAGTTCACTTCCTTCACACTCGATCAATTTGCTTCATTCATGCCATCACCATCCTTATCTTCACCATCACCGGCAGACTCATCACTCCCTTCCTCCAAAGAGGAGGGGTCAATGGTGCAGCTATGGGGCGAGGATGGATCATTGCGAGCTGGCTGCCCCAGGAAGTCAATGAAGTGAAGTTGGCCTTCCCTTGCATCGCCAATAGCATGAGGGATGATAGCTTCCCCTACATCGCCAATGACAGGAGGGATAACAACAGGCGGGGCACGCTGCCTCTTCTTGTAGATGCAGCAGATCACCCATGAGCTATCGGGTTCTACCATGATTCTCATAAGAGGGGCAGAATCACGCTTGGCACGAAGAGTTGCAGAGAGACCATCACTTTTCTGTAAAATAGACACCATTTTGTCTGTTAGTGGATCTACTTAAGGTGCAACCATGGTATATACAACATATACAACAAAGAGAATAGATGAATTGACCATTATAGTAAACTAGTTTATAAGCCTCTTACTGTGACAAATCATATGGGGACTGAATTAGAAAGATGTGTGATAACTTCATGTCCAGTTTGAATGTTGCAACTAATTTGAGAAGTAAACTGTTGACATGTCACTTATATAAATCTTGTGGCAATGATCAAATTAAAACCAGATGTACAAATCCAAATATCCCAGTATCAAGTGTATCATGACACGTGGTGTTCAATAAAGAGGTTCCCTACTGAAAATGCAAGTAGACAGCAAACCCCTTTTTTTCTCAATATATTTGAATCACTAGTAGATCTTGTAACCGCTAGATCTCGCTTCACGGCAAAATCAATTAATCATCATTACATCCTAGTAATACATAAGGAAAACCATGTGAGGCTATGACAAATTCAAATCAGCAGGCCCACCACCTCTAGATTCCTTGTCACGACAAAATTTGAATCACTTCTAGATCCCGCGCATCTTGCATGGCAACAATAAATGAACCCTATATCAAGCGTCACGTACCCTTAGTCCTAAGATCGAAAACAACTACCCTTCCCTTATTTAATAAATCAACACAAGAGTTATAGTATATCATCACGTATACTAAGTCATCATATTTTCCCCATTCCCTAAAGCTAAAACTCATAATCCAACCTATCCAAATAATTGAGCAATTTAATTCAACAGGCATTTAGATGGAATCATGATAAATGGAACAGTAAAATTTTTGGACGTAGCATCTCACCTTAGCGATTGTCGCTTCAAGGCAGCCACAGGGTGGCTCTGAACCATTGCTGGTTGCATGCCTCATCATAGGGTGAGGAAGGAGACCAGCACCAGCAAGCTGAAACTCATGCATGGCCCATTCAGTGCGCTCTGCAGATCGTGACTTTCCGTAGTGGAACACTAGAGTCCGCCTCATCCCAACTAGCATGTCGTTAGCAGCACCTTCTGGTTTGTAATAGATGGGCACCTCCGAGCCTGCTGCTCTCCAGAAGCCATTACCAGCAACACGGTTGCTACGGCGGCTACCAGGGTACTTGACCTCCTTTCTTGTGAAGAAGTGCTTCCCTTTCTCCCTCTCCGCCACTTCATCATCAGATCGTTGCCAACGAACAAACGAAAAAAATGATAAACAAAACAAGAGAATAAATATCGTCAGGACACACATGCAATTAATCAGTCAAATCAGAGATATATGCAGACGGATGTGGTAATAATTTTCATAGAAGCAAAGAAGTGCATATCAAAATTAACCTGGGACGATGTCCCAGGGGTTGTGATGATGGATGTCAACATCGGTGATGATCGCACAGGGCAGTGGCACATGAAAAGCACGGGGGTAGAGGTATTTGATGACTAGCTCATCGTCAGTTGGACGGAACCGGAAACCAGGGAGGAGGTGGATTGTGGCACCATTCACCATGGGGATGCTAAGTCCGGTGTTAGCCATCACCCTAGCTCACAAACTACACAACACAGAGATCGCTCGCTCACTCGCTCAAGATTCACCCTAGACACTCTAGAGAACGAAAGCTCAAAGGCACTGCAGTGATGTTGATGGAGGCAAAGAGGGACAATATTTATAGAGCCCAGGGGACACCCCTTTATCAGATGGATGGGCAACTGTGAGTGACGTGACGGAGATTCAACCTCACTTTCTCCCTTTGCAAGTTTCTGGCCCTCACACACTCCCTCTATCTCCAAGATATGGCTGGTGAGATAGCATTGAGGTTTGTGTTGATGGGATGAGAATCCCAATGCCATGTTTTGTTCAGTTCTGTGCTTTTCCATTCTTGGAAGCTCATACAACCGGTTAATTTCACTCTACCTCACTTCCTATTTGGTCTTTTATGGGGGCTAGAGATAACTATGACCAGATGTGAACAACCATGCTGACTAGGAAAACTGTGGATGCTTATTGAGGCTGAAATTAAAGGTGTGTGAATGTTGCTTGCAAGCATGTTTATTTGTGTCCTTATTTGGATTGTTAGATAGCTTTTTGGGGTTTGTTTCCTAGTAAAAAGATAGGGGGCTTGTGTTGGAGAATATGAGTTTAATTGGGGTGGGACCACAAGGTTTGTGTTGTGAAGAATCCTAACATGGAGGGGTAGACATGAAAAAAAAAGGAATTTTCCTTCTAATTTTTGCATTGTTGTCCCTAAATTAAAGTTTATCTATTTAATGTTTTTTGGGTATTAAGATAATAATATTTCGTAATATTGATAGAAAATTTGCAACAGTTTGTCCTAGTCTCTTTTTTTATTCTTACCATTTTCATTAGTAATATTTTATTTTGTTATTATTCTTACCTTGCACTAATTGTCATATATAGTTATTGTTGAAAATTTGTATTGGGTAAAAAAGGCTACAGACATATTATACATATTGTGTACCAATCTAATCTTTTCACCCTATAGTAAGCATTCATTTGGTTAAGGTTAGGTACTATAGAGATCACACCATAAAAAATGGTCCAGTAGTATAGATCTTTTTGACAGAACTGTAAAACTTGGGCTGCATCTTTATATATACAGATGGAAAGGTCTACTAGAATCCATACATATTAATCTAAAACATAAACAAGATATAAATTCTCTCATTAATCAGAAAAACTAGAAATTCCCACATTACATCTAAAGGCAAATTTTGCTATAAGACACCTAATGTTTGTGCTCCTTGTTGGAGGGTACTGCAAGAATGCATTTCTGCTGGAGTGTGCTGCAAAAAATTGATAATTGGTTGCTGGTCACTTGTGGCATATTTATTATATAAGAAAGAAATGGAGATATAATGTTTATTAAAGACAAGTTTTCCCATGGGCCAACTGCTTTCATGAAATGGAGAGAAAAATATTCGTTAAAGATTTTAATTAGGTTTCTGTAATGGATGGGCCCTGTTAACGTGTTAAGTATATCTCTCACTTTTAATTTATTTCATTAACTTCTTAATTAACATTCTAAAGGTTAAGCCCACTCGTCAATCTCACATCTCTGTAAGGGAGGAGTCACACCACGAGTGTCTGGATAAAAACACGGTCCACTATTGGAACTGAAAAAACAATTGTGGGAATATTTTTTTTACTGAGACGAGCCATGGGGCCAGGAATGAAGGGGGAACGAGGGAAAACCGGTCGTGGGAATTATCCTGAGTCACGCTATGTAGCTTCTAGCGCTACATAGCGCCGTCCTATATATAACATTGTCAATTTAACTGTAGACATGATCTCCTTAAAATTCATCGTAGATAGATTTATGAAGTAAGTCTATATATAGTTTTTATGAACACAACATGCATCTATATGCACAAACTTTACAAACAAGGAATTATCACATGATTGATTGTGCGCAGAGTTTCGGATTTTAGCCATAAGTACCTTAATTAATTTCAAACTGTATGAGAAAAGCACTGCAGATTAAATAATCTGGGGAAATAAACTTTAAATAAGACAGATAATTAAGTTTTAAAAATATAAACGAAAGTAGTATTTTATTTTTAAATATGGCATGTGGCTATACTTGCTAGAGAACACCTTTTAGAATCCATAAAAAAATATAATATAATCTAATTAAGTTGATCCATCATTGTTGCAATGTCAGTAATTTGACACGACTTCCTAGAACACCTTTGGAAATCCACTAAAAATATGACAGATTAAGTTAGGCCATCATTACAAATGTTAGTAATTTGACACAACTATATGAACATTTAGAATATGGAAATTAATGGTTAGGTACTTAAACTAGAAAATTAAGACTTACCATATGAGCATGGCATCTGCTGGAGCACAATGGAGGGATTATCAGACACCCATGTATCAGGATCCTGACACAACTTTACGGATAATCCATTGAATGTTAGATTTTCTAGACATTCAATTTTACAAGAATGAATGATGAGAGTTAATTGAACCCATTGAACACAAACATGTGTGTACTCCTAAAATTAGTGGACACCAACGTCAAATTGAGGAAAGTGATACAAAAAATTCAATACTATTAATACATGCCACTCATGGCTGAATTTTCATTTCAAATTAAACTGAGATTTGCATTCTCAAACTTTAATGGTGGGTCGTTATTAATGACTTAGATCATGTCCACATATTCCCTCTCTCATGCTTATCATGAGGTGAAAAATAACGGTGTAATATGTAAAATGTTATTTTGAAGATATAGCTGGTATGTGCAATCTTCTCATATTGTTGTCTTAGAGGTAGGGCATGAAGTTCAGCATTATATTGGTGGACTACGGCAACAAGGGGTTCTAAAAAGATGACAGGTTGTCCTACATGGATGCAAGAGCTGTGACGCTATAAATTTTGATGAAGACAGTTTGTGGCAATTGATTGTTGGGCTTCTATGCATTTGAATATTGGGCTCATGAATTGTAGAGCTTAGTCACTACTACATATTCCATTTCCATAGGCAGCAAAAGGTGGTTTTCACATGTTGGCCAACAAGACCGCCTGTGAGCGTCTATAAAATGGATATTTGCACACGCGGCCGGTCCAACCGCATGTAATAAACCATTTACTCAGGCAGCTATGTAAAGTAGGCTAGCCTGTGAAAAGAATTTTTCACATACGGCCTGCCTTACTAAGATAGGTTGGGACCAACATATATAAATTTAAGCATTCCAATCATAACAAGTATAGGATAACCTTTTTTAATGATGATAGGGAAGTAGCATACACCAAATACTATTGTGCATACTAGGTCTACCCACATAAAAAGAGTGAGCATGCATCAACAAATCATTGAATTTTTGAAGCTACGGCATTCATTACGTAAAAATGAGCAAATAGTTCCGCAACAAGGCCTAGTAAAGAGCTGTCTATTTCAAACAAGGTAGAGCATAATCTAAAGTAATGATAGCAGGTAAATGAGCTAGTCTAAAGGAGTGGTACAGTGTTGATGAAAGAGACTGGTCTAACAGGCCTAGTTGAGTCATGATCTTACTTGGGGATTTAAAAGGCCTTGGCCTAAGTGCGCAACATTTCAATGTGATGGAAGAGATGATGAATGAGGGAAGGGGAATGGATCTAGGAGAGAGAGAAATTGATAGGCGTTGATGACTGCTCCAAACATTGCACATTTTTAAAAAGCCAGCCTTTATACAGACTGATACATTTTTTCCAATTGGGAGGGGGCTTTCAGTCCATTTTAATTTATTTTCCATTCTTGTGCATGAAATATGTCCTAACTAGCCCCCCTCTATGGATTGAGCAAGCTGGGTCCAAATACACCAAACCAAATATCATGTGTTGTGCCTTGCACCCAAATGAAATAACGGACAAGTATATGACAACATTTCTAACTATTCTTCTTCAATATTTATGATCAGAGGAACAAGTATGATAATGAATTACATGCATTACTTTACGAAATGCCACAAGCAACCTAGTGGTACTGATCGTTGTGGGCAATATGTTTGTGAGTTTGTTGGGTTGGAGTGAGGTACATGATGAACCAAGACAAGTATGCAACCATTTTTAATTGAACAATGGCTATTGATTATATTGTTCTCTATTGTGACTGTAATGTTATAGCTCTTTTTGTTGTTGTTTCATTGCAGCGGCCCGTAGATCCAACCAGTGGAGCACTCAATGATAGGCATATTGCTGTCATACAAAATGACATGTGCCGGTTCATCCACCATAGGATTTGCAACAAGAGGGATAAATATTTTGACTATGAGACCAACGTTGCCTCGCATGAGTCACTTTATTGTTGGGAGGTAGGGATGCCTACCTATGTGCATGACACTCAAACTATTGATGTTATTTGATTTTGAAACATGATAATGTGGTTGCATTGTGATGTAAATAATCATGTCATTGGATTGTGATGTGTTGTAAATAGAGGATTGCATCCAATTTCTCTGTTTGATATATGTGGTGGGATAATGATATGAATTATGAGATGAGTCAATACAATGTGTAATGAAACATCTGGGTACTGATGAATAAAGAAATAAATAATTTCTGCATCTGTTCAAATAAAAACAAAGGTGGTTCACTTAACTGAACTGCCCATGACAAACAATTTTCGCATGAGGTTTGGCGAGTCGTCCACCTTGAAAAGTGTTTGCACGGGTGGTTCTTTTAAGTGAGCTGCCCATGAAAAGATGTTCCATGCATGGTTATCTTAAGTAAACCACTTGTATCAAGGTTTCTCCACATGCGGCTGACTTTCCACCCTTGTAAATAGCTGATTTTCACATGCCATTGATTGCAGGCGGTTGGGGAAACACCTATATAAAAGGTTTATCAGACGCCTCCACAAATGTTTTCTATACCAATGTAAGGAATCTTTTGCTTCAACCAAAGTAGTATATTACAAAATTTTTGTAATAGCTACACAATACCAACGGTGTGGATCTTGCTAACTAGCTATGCATGACTTGGCTACTTAGCAAAAAGAGAAAAGAATTTGCTTAAGCTGTCTATCAATAGTTTGCGTGCTATCCTTAGAACCCTCTATATATTCCTTTACACTACTTAAAAGAAATATACATTCAAACAACACTAACAAACTAAGCCCATGACATTAGGTAAATCCTACTTTTTGGCAG